CTCAGCCTTCCATCCTTCCGAGGTGGGTAAAATGAGGACCCGGATTGTTGGGGGCAATATGCTGACTCTCTGTAAACCGCTTAGAGAGGGCTGAAAGCCCTATGAAGCGGTATATTAGTCCACTGCTATTGCTATTATGCATAACATAGTACAAATATGGAATGCCTGTTTTATTGCTTAACAAACGAATAATAATCTAGAAAGAAGAAAGGACACCAATTAACATTTTCGTATGGTTCATTCCTGCAAAATAGCTAAACTAGTTCCATACTATCCAAAATAATCTACAATTTGAGACAGATATAACTCAGCACAGATTGGATTCTTGAAATATCCAATATTTTTTTTTCCATCTAATAGGAAAAACTCAGGATTAAAATTTGCCTCCTAATCGGTGGCAGTTTAGGATGGATGTTTTAAATTAATAAAGCTTTACTTGTTTGATGCAAGTGCTAATCAGTAGTATGTAAATTGATCTTATATTTACTTTTAAATATTATAGCTGTCACTTGCATAATGCAAGCATCCTAATGGTACAGCCAAAATAATAAATTTAGAAGAAAAGTGTTCTCCGTAGTTCCACTGAATAGAGTTTTGCAAAGCTTCAAAGGATTGCTTCACTTCAAATCAGCTCATTAAAACTGATTTGCAAATTAAAGCTTTGATGCTATAAATGAAATCCGATAGCTGTGAAGTGCATCGCAGCCTTGTAAAATGTTTTGCAAATTCAATTGCTTTTCTGCGGCTTCTGGGGGTTTTACCAAATGATAGGGTTGCACGGCTATTGAGATCCATAAAGAACTTTAGGCGGGGTGTAGGCATGTTTGGCATCTTGTTAAAGAAATCATGCCATTTTTCTGGGTCTCTATGATTAGTGACACAAGTCCCAGGAAAATATATGTTGGTGCGTTAAGGACCTTTCCTTAATGTCTCCCTAACTCCAATGCAGATTTAAGCTGACGATTTTTGAAAGTTGTTGTTGTGTTTCAGTCAGAGCAGGTTATTCCTAGACTGGTCAAAATAACTTCTGTGGAAGACATCTTGACTTCGCTTTTTCTCATCCTTTGTTCCTTAAAAGAAGAGGGAGCCTTTTTTATTTTTAAAAGAGAGTGCTGAAATGAATATATATATCCTGATAGGCAGGGAAGGCGAGGCCTCACCAGTCTCATGAGGAAAAGGAAAGAATTTTTAAAATAACTAAAAAGGCCAAGGTAGTTGCTGCCAGAATCCAAGTCACAGTGACTTTGAGTCTGCTTAGGGGGAGGTAAGAGAACTATGGGCCTCCTTTGCATAAGGAATTTTTCGCCTTTTAAGAGTTAAGCAAGGGTTAAAAGGCCAAAAAATTCCGTATGCAAAGGAGGCACATGATTCTCCCGCCTCCTGATCTGGGATACAACTTCTCTGTGTGCATGTGTCTGTTTGAGAGAGGGGGGAGGGAGGGAGAGAGGGAGGAAGGGGGGAGGGAGAAGAAAAAGAATGGGAAAACTTATTTTGCAATAAGTTACGCCTATTAGCTCTCTGATGCCGGGCATCTAGGAACAACTCCCTTG